CTTTTGAAATTGATTTAGGTTAGGTTCACTTGGGCTCACACAGCAACCTGCCATCTAAATCCATGTTAAACACTACCCACATTTTGCCACTTTTGTCTTAGCAATATGAAAATATGGCAACCTCAATATTGACGCTTTGGCTCAGCTATAGCAAGCTGTAAACATTTTGAACAATACAAGGGGGGAAGAGAAACAATGCTCAATTGAACATAGTCTGCTAGAGCCGCTATAGTGCGCAATTTGACTCGCGTGGGGTAGAGTATTGTTTTTCATGTGACCGGACAATTTAAATTTCCCGTGACCAATGAACAATAAAAACGTTAATATCTCAGCCAGGAGTTAATTCCAGTAGTTTTCGTTGCGTGAATCGTGTTCTACGTGAAATTCAAGCAAAGAATCATGTATCGGAGTGCTTAAAATTGTATACCTTCTTAAGTGGTTCATTTAATCTAAAAAAACGAACATAGAGAACTTTCCTAACTTTTCTCGGATAAAATATTTTATCGGGAGAAACGAGGCAACGTCGAAATGCTCATACGGTGTCCAAACACCACATGGGCTTTTTCAGCCCTATTATTCATTACCACAATTATTCTAATGCGAGTTTGAATAATCGTGCCGAACACCGTGCAGCCGGCCGGCGCGGCGCGGCACGATGCGGCGTTAAACTTACCGTAGCGCCTGCAAGACTGCGGGAATACTTCGCGCATTGCGCTAAACGGAGCCGTCGGCGCGGAACGCCCTAGCGCCTACAAGACTGTGAAAATACTTCATGCATTGCACGCACAGCACGGTGCACGCTTTAATCTTTCTAATTTCTCGAGGACAGACCTGACCTGCATTCTACCACTCGCGGTGCGGTGGACACAACATCCAACCAGTGCTCAACGCGAGCCTGCAATCCTCAAAGGATCGTGGAGATTTTCTTGCCTTCTGTTAACTTTTCCTTCATTAAATATAGCTCGTTGCACCTCATCTAGTGGTCTTTCTAACGAATCAAATATCAAAATTTGCCAGTTTTAGTTGCAAACTTCATGTCCGACTTCACCAATTGGCTCGTTAAACTGTACGTCGTTGTTTCGTAATTTTGGTGTTTTCAGTCATGGAGTTTGCGAGTGTAAAACGTGGGCGTTCGGCAAGGCATGGGCATGTTTCTCTCTACCCGTCCGCATCAAGCGCCGTCAAATCTATGTCAGTGATAGGAGAATGCGACAAAAGCGAGAGTTAGAAAATAATCCGTATGTGCAGGCGTAGATATTTTTTTAAAAAATTTAAAAACTTTTAAAACAAACTTAAAATCATTCACTTGCATAAACTTTTTAATTTTATGCAAGTGAGTTAAGATTTTTTGCGAGTTCCAAAATTTTTAATTTTATGCATTTAATTTTATGGGGCGCGCTGAGGACGGAGGTCGGGACACTTCCAAAACGCGTCCGCTTCAAAAATTAAAAATTTTATGCAAGTGAGTGATTTTAAGTTTGTTTTAAAAGTTTTTAAATTTTTGTAAACTTTTTTAAAAATTTTAAATCTTACATATTCAACGACTTGTGTAGTGATTTAAACTCCTGTAACATTTTCTCGTCGATTTTTGATTTCATTCACGGCAGGTATAACGAGAAAAATATTTGACCACGGGTATAGGCATATTGCCGCTAGCTGGATTGAAGGCGCATCACACTCTGAAGTTGACTGGATCGCGCTACATTCCCTGGCTTGCGCGACGCTAAAGTCGCCGCATAACTACGACTACGCATCATTTCTTTTGACGATCCTTGCCCGGTTTTTACCACAGTTAAAGGTTAAATATGTATCTTAGATGCAATGATTTAGAAACTCGGACGATGTTTAATCGATGTTTAAACAACGCAGCGATTCTGAAACTTGATTCGCGTAAAACTAATTTTGGTTTGATAAAAAGAAAACCGAACTCGATCGAACGAAAATATTGCGTCGAAATTTTTTGTGATTTTATTTTAGATAATTCCGGAAATTTCCTGGAAACTCTTAAAAAAAACTGTGTGTGGCTTTTTAAAAAAATTGATTAAAACTAAAACATGGGTAAAGAGATGTGCAATGTTGCAATCGGAGGTAAGAACACTTTTATCCGCGTGCAGGCGTCGATATTTGATTTTATTCGCGGCCGGCATAAAAGAGAAAACTATTCCACGACGGATGTAGGCATGTTGCCGCTAGCCGGCTGGAAGGCGCATCACACTGCGAAGATGACTCTACCGCGTACCGCGTTCCCTTTCCTGGCTTGCGCGACGCTGAAGCTACCGCTAAACTAGGACTAGGTGTCATCATTCTTATCTCTATGCTTCGGTTTGGACCATAATGGACCACTAGACAAGGTACGAATTTCAGCATTCTGATGCATGTTCCTTAACCAAAATTTAACGTGAAATACGATGCGGACAACGAAAATTTCCTAAATCAATTCCTTACGAAGATATTTAATGATTCTTGATGCATGAATTCAAACCACCCGCTCATGAAAACTGATTGCTCGACGCGATTCACATCGCGTATCTGCGATATAAAAATCTGGCAATCTCAATCTTGACGCTTTGACTCAGCTGAAGCAAATTGCTTATAGTTTGAACAACACATGGTGGGAAACGAACATTACTCGATTTAGAAGCTTTCTGAAACCGTCGTGGTGCGCGATTTGAGTCACGTAGAGCTTTGAGTTTCTTGTGAGCGGGCAGTTCAAATTCCTCGTAACCAGTGTGAAATAAACGACAGAGCAAAGGGGATAATTTTATGAGCCCCCCTTCGCATTCCGCAGCCCGCATGGCGCACGACCCGCCTTCCATTACTACACTTCATCTAGCGTTGCGAGTTCACTAATTACTTAACACGACCAGCATGTAATTTTAAAAGTCGAAAATTTAAAGAAAAACTAAGAAAAAAAGGAAAAAGACCATTTACATGATACACGAGTTTCTCCCCGCATGTAATCGTTCCCCACCCGCCCGCCGAGAGAGCCGCTGCGTGCTGCCAGCTTGAAACACGCACTGACGCCTACAAACCTAAGGGGCTACTTCACGCATTGCGCAATGCTTGAAGTATCCGCTTAGGTTTTTAGGCGTCATTGCGCGTTTCAAGCTGGCAGCACACCGCGCCGCAGCGTGCCGTAAACTTGCCCACAATTAATAGATCAGGGTGTTAAAATGTAGGCAATTTGACATCAAATTCGAAATTAGCGACTCAAGAAACATCAGTTACGAAACTTTCGTGATCTTTCAGTCATTATCCGACTTATTTCTTCCTATTTTTTAGTTTTGGACCATAGTCCGCCGCGGGCGGCGGCGCTCGTGAAATGCTCCTCCGTGTTAAATCGATGAAATAAAAACGTTAATATCTTCGTTAGGAGTTGGTTGTAGTAATTTTTGTTGCGCGAATTGTAATCTACGTGAAATTCTGGTTAAGAAACACGTATCAGTTTGCTTACATTTGTACCTTGTCTAGTGATCCATTAGAGGGAAAATATGTATCCTCATTGTGACAGTTCAGAAACTCGGATGATAACTAATTCTTTTTGGTTACACAAAAAGAAAATAGAACGGACGAATAAAATATCGCGTTGAAATAATTATCAATACTTTTATTTAAGATCATTTGGAAAAAGTCGCGGAGACTTTTCAGAAAAACTGTGTGCAGCTTTGAAAAACATTGATTAAAAATAAAACACAGAGGTGCATAACGTTGCAATTAGAGATAAATACGCCCCTTTGCGCGTGCACCCGTCGACTTTTGAAACCATTCATCTTTTAAATATCTTGAACATGGTTGTTCCACGATTTTTTACGTATAGTTTCTTTTCAGTAGTTGGCAGCCGCGAAGCGGCCACGGGCTCCTAATATGTAATATAAAACCACCAATCGTTGAACCATATAAAGATGAATTCTTGCCGCGCTAAACGAATGTTGAGCCTGAGGCAGTAAATCCTGCGAAAACATTAGTTTGGATCATTATCTGGAAGTATAGTTTTTTGCGGCTACGGGAATTGCAGGAGTTATTGAATCATTTGAAAGACTACGTGCTTCTCTAACTCTTACAACACGGGCTCGAGTTGTACGAAAAAAATGTATGATCACAAATATGTGTTGTTTCTCTTGAAACCTGATTTAGTGAACGAGTTCAGGATTTTTGATTTTAGGTGTATGAAGGGGTTTTATAGAGGGGGGATTTGTGAGAATTGGAGGGATTACGTGCGATTATCCGAGAGCAGGTCTGACTAACAATTAGTCAAAATATCTATCCAAGGAGAAGATAAAATAAACTAATATTAGAGCGAAATATACAAAAAATGTGATATCAGGGAAATTACTTTGTGCCGTTGTGCGCTTGAGCTGGAAGGAAGAAACTACGGTTTATATAAAATACCAACAATTTTAATCAGGTTAAAAGCTGAAGTTTTTCGGTCATGAGAAGCCAACTTCGGTTCAAGTAAACATTTCGTCAGTCAAACTTAATCTCATGTTCCTCACTAAAAAAAACGACTGCTTAAACCGAAATTAGGTTTCTATGATAGAAAATGCTAGTTACCGAGACCAAAAAATTTGATGTCCCACATATGAACCGTGATTCTTGTGACCGAAGTTTCCTTTTATCTCCGCCCAACACTTTAGTAAACTTTAAGGAGATAAAAAATAAACTCGTAAACTTTAGGAACTTAAACTGAACGTATCAGCCTGACTAAATTTCACGTTTCCAAATCTCCTCTAATTTTTTATCTTTTTGGCTGACCAACATGTAGCACAGGAGAAACCAGAATAAACTCATTTATGTCCCTGTGATATACAGAGAAACCTATGGACGATTCAGTTGCAGCGAAGAAACAAAGGGGAAAATGTCCACGCGTTGTGTCTTGAGTCATCTTGCTCTCGCAGTAACAACCTAACAACACGTCCGCAGTGCTCAGTGTAAACAAACAACATAAACGACACAAACTTAAACATCGCACCAGAGACGCGCGAAGCGTGCACCTCATTCACGAGCCAATCACAGCCGATTCTCAACGATGTCCAAATCATAACGTACTAACTGCAGTCACTCCCCCACATTTTTGTACGCAACTTTCCTCGGTAAAGTGACTCAAATGTTTAGTCTTAAGCGAATAACTCAAAACACTGCAACCGAAGTGAATAACTTAACAATAACCTTGATGCTATGTCGACATGACTGTCGTCTTTTCCTCGATCGGTCCTTCGGATTGGACGATCGTCCGTCTATTCGTCTCCTCTCTAACGTAAGGTCGCGTCTCTATTTCCTCATGAGCCCTGGAAAGCATTCAGTTATACGGAGAACAGGGCTCACGTTGAAATTGATATATGCCCTTACGTCAGAGGCGCGACACATTGATGAGTGGGCCACGGCCGTGAACGAATTCTAACCCACCGCGGATTTTAGCGGGTAACCCGAGTGTGTGTTTAACCATCTCGCAGCCGCATGTCGGTCCGTTTAACTTTTGAATGTTGCGAATTTTGACGCGTGTGTCCTTTCGTTAAGCCGTTTGTACCTGCTCGTATTTTTTTCGCAAAATACCGATACATATGGTTCTATCAATCAAACTCATCAGTGTGAACAAACCGAGAGTAACGACCGATAAATCCGAAATGAGCACAAGTGCGGACAAGTGTCTCAAAGTTCAAAGTGGCCATTCAACCTTATCTGTGAGTGAACTAATTTCGCTAATTTATCACGCAAGTCTTAAGTTTCGTGGATGAAACGCGGTATCGTGGAGTTCAGAAAAAAAACACAGTTGTGCGGCGTGGGACGATTTTTTTCGTTCGCCTCGTGTTTAGATAATGTTCTGTGTCAACATTCCATTAGTCAATTTTTTTTAGATAAGTTCGGATCTGTGCGGGTCGGAAAATGATTGTGATCGTGATTTTGGCCGTGCTGAGCCTCATCATCATCAGCAAGTTGATAACGAAAGCTACGCTTATTATTCGACAATATCAACTTCTGAAAAAAGTCCCTGGCCCCCCTATTGACAGCATTTTCTTGGGGCATGCGGCAGAAATTCTCTCCTCCTCATCAGGTGGGTCATGGGTGCTACAGTATTTGAATTCAACCACTTTAGATTTATTTATTTATTTATTTTTCAATACATGCTCTCTACTTCTCAAAAATCTTTCGGGCACAAAAAATGTTGGGGGAGGCAAAATTTGATTGAAGAGGCAAAACTTCAAAAATTCTTCAAAACTGTCAAAAATTAGAATAATTGACCTAGAAAGCGGGGTCAATTGACGCGGGAAATTTGACATGACGGGGGAAGGAGCATAAAGGGGAGGGTAGTGGGGCAATTACCCCACTGCCCTCCCCTTATGACACTTCTGCTGTTTTTCTGCAGAGAAACAACAGACATTATGGAACTGGACTTTCGATGTGATGAGCTTGCGGCCCATTTCTTGAACTTCTGCGAGGGAAGAACCTCGAATTTTTTAAGAAAGGGGGAGGAACAGATGAACAAACTTACAAATAAGGGAGTCAAGGAATATTCTCCTGAAAAGTGTTGAGTATTTCAACGTCTAAACTCAAGTAGCAATTTTACGTTTCCCTTACACTAATAATATATGTACGTATTACCAAAGAATTTAAGCGGTGAGAGAGTTTTCACTCAATTATTTTACAGAAGTGTCATAAGTTGCGTTAAAAAATTGTGATCGTCTGAGCTAAACGTTCAGTGAAACTTTTAGTGTGACTGAACTTTTCAAACTGATTAAGAGGACGGCAATAAGTATATATAAACAGTCATTTCAGTAATAGATGGAAAAACGTTCGATTCAATATGTATACATCCTTCGCTATTTTTTTGCGAGTTCATGAGTGTCGCCACTGTCGCCCATCAAAATACGAGCCTCCTCCACGCTTGACCCACCACTTATTCAAAATTGGAAACACTTTCACAGTCATTTGTATTTTATTTGCAGAACTTCCGAAAATACTCGGTAGGAGAGTCAAAGAGTATGGCGGCTTTTTCAGGCTTTGGATATTCAGCCAACCTTACATTCTCTTGGCGAGCGCGGATTACACAGAGGTGAGTTTGCAATTGTCAAGAAATGTAAATCCGCTAATTAAAGTCCTCAATTTCCGAGGAATAGATTTAATGCGTCATTATTGAGCCCGTGTTGCAGTGATTGGGGTTGACCAGTAAACCTCTAAACTTCATGGCAGATTATGAACGATGTCAGACAATTCACGATAAATATCAAGACGAACTACACAAATTCATTATTGAAATTGCATTATTAGGTGTCTTTTTCATATTTTCTCGTCAAAATCAATACGTGCAAAGGAAATGTTGCAAATCGACCCCCAAAAAATAAATTCAATGTAATTAGGAATAATTACTATTTCTTACTTATCCATGAAATAACTAATTTGCTTTGGGAAATTAATGGTACAAATGCTGTTTCTAAATAGAGCCAAAATTAGTTGTTCATAATTTGCAAAATGTAATCCAATTGAAGTCATCTGTTCCCCATTTGTTTAATATGAGGAGCATCTCTTTGTGATGTGCGCAGATAGCTGATTGCGGAACATTTTGTTGAGCGCTAACTTTTTGCGTGAATTGTTATGGGATCATCATGGGATGCAATGTTTGAACTTGCAGCTTATTATGATCAGTTTAATCTTACCAGAACTAACATGTAGGCTGGCTTGTATTTAGGAGGTAATCAGCATCCATAGCATCAGATAAGTGCTTTGGGTGCGCGGGATTTTTCATTTTGTTTTGGGAATTTAGATGTCCTTTACTCCATTTCGTTCAAGCGTTTCCTCAATTAAATATCTTAAAGACAAAGTAATGATGAGAAGCCTAAGGTATAGCAAGATTTGACAGCGCTGTGGATTTGAGGTATGCTAACCGCCTGCATTAAAATTCGAATGCAAATGTCTTTGACCTCCATCCCCTCTCATTCGGTTTAAGACGTGCATTTCGATCTATTAAAACATTTCCCTAAGTCCAAATGCAAGTAAATTATGCATTATTTTTCCAGAGAGAGTGGCAGAAACTAAGCTGCCGTGCTCAGCATCCGTTAAAATTACAAAGTAGATATCGACGGTCAGGAAGCGAAACCACGGAACTCTAAACTTTGTGCCATACTTCATTTTTTCTTTGGAAAACTAGGCGAAGTAATTTTTTGTTCCCCGGTAAAAATCGGCGATAAGAGCTGCGTTTCAAAATACCATAGGAATTCCTATAGCCGGCTAAAGAAGGCTGCAGAAAATCATATAGCTGGCTGTAGAATGCGGAGAAAATCATACGGCCGGGCTATACGAAGCGATAAAAAATTATGCAGCCGGGCTATAGTTCCTGTAGCCGGGCTTTACACTTTATCGCCTGCCTGTTGCGTTTTCGCCATCGATTATAAAAGGCTATAAGAAATTGTATAGAAATTCGTGTGCTTTGGAAATCATTAAGTTTGATACGGAACCACCTTAATATTTACAAATCACACATTATATTTTCCTTTAACACGTATTTTTTTTCATCAATTAAAATGAGAGTAATCCATACAGGATGTGCAAACATTTCAAAATCATGAGTTAAATAACGCTGACTCCGCCAGATTAAATATTAGAGCCTAACACAAAGCGGAGCGGCGACGTACTGGCGCCTACAAACCTAACAGGGATACTTCACGCATTGCGCAACGCGTGAAGTATCCCTGTTAGGTTTGTAGGCGCCAATGCGTGTTCCGCGCTGGCTGCCCGCCTGCCACGGCGCTTGAAGCAACTATTTCACACCTGAGGTATTGTACAGTATCATACGAAACTGAAGGCGCTCTAATATATTAGGAATGGCAGGCATCCATCAAAAGTACGGAGCTTTCCTCGCAAAATGAATCAAGATACTACGGCCCAAAAAGAGAGCAGTATTCCAAAAACTCACCAAGTCCTAGCATCCGTAATTAGTAACGTTTAGCATACACTTTATCGCCTGTCTGTTGCTTAATCGCCATCGGCCATAAAAGGCTTTAAGAAATTGTGTAGCCGGCTATAGAAGCTATTGGAAATCTTACAGCCGGCTGTAGGTCTATGGTATTTTGGAACACAGATTCTACTGCCAATTTTTACCAGGGTTCTTGATTGTTCTGCTCTGTTGACACTATATTTTGATTTTTCAAGTTGTAGAGGTGGCTTGTCTCTCTTCAAAAAATAAAATAGGAGCGCACATTTCAAAACACCGCAACAGAGACGTGGTTTCGCATTTTGGTCATCGATGTACTCTTTACATGATCGTATCCTCAATTCTATACATCAGGATTCGATATTTCTTCAGGATATCTATATGTCGGCTATTGCAAGTTAATCTATACACAAGTCTCTGAAAAAGAGACCTCATTTTCCAAAAATTGAATGTGGGTCGTTGCGCTGGTCACAGAACCGTGTTTTGATGATTGATTCTTGTAGATGAGCTTAAAATAATAAAATCTGCTAAAATGGCAACTTTTTACGTTTAATATCAACCGAGATATTGCGCTTTTAAAAATTCGGTTTATGACGTCATCCACCGCGATGGTGAGACCCTCTGTTTCTTCCGCCTTGCTTTCTTCAGTCAGGGAAACACAGACTTGCACTGGTCCCTCAACCCTCAACGTGACTTCCTGATGAAAACAAGGTGGAATAAATCAGGGGTGATACTGCCGCGGTGGATGACGACGTCATAAACCGAATTGTTCAAAGCGGTATATCTCTGAAGTTAAAAGTTGTCGTTTGGACAGATCTTATTATTTTTAGCTAATCTGCAAGAATCAAGCATCAAAACACGACTCTGAGAACAGTGCAACCGACCCATTGAGTCGTTAGTGATCGCGCGTGGAAGTAAGATACCTATGAGCATCTGGTACTTCAATTGATGCCTGGTCCTTGTTGTAATGTTTAGAAACATGGCAGGAAATTCTAGGTCTGAAAAGACTGCGGTGTGCTTGAACGAGAAAAACACCTTTTCATTAAGATGGCTGCCAAATCGGAGGAGTATACTCATGGTCTCATACGTCTTAGCATGAAACGAACAGCGTTTTGATAGCTAGGCATGGAGAAAACTTAACTCTTAAAATAATCTCGATTCTTGAGCCTGATGAAGCCCGGACGTTTTCCTCATTTGGGCACATGTGTTGGCGTAGATGCAAGGGCGTCTAATAGAAATTCCACTTAATTCCTCATTATAACCGTTTGTAGACATACCACTAAGAGAAATCGATTTCATTTTTAGGAAAAGAAAAATAATTTCCCTCGACAAATTCTGGTTGCGCAGATAAAAATTATTTTTGCGATGAACAAGTCATTAGCCATGTTAAATGAGCTCTCGTTGTGAATGTTAAAATTTTAGACGGTGTACCTTATCAGTTTCAATCTGAGCGCAAAATGTATTTTCCTCAGCACAATCAGAAACTGTTAAGAGCTCAAACTTTTGTTACCTCGTAAAAATGAACCCGATTTTCTGAAGACGAGCGAGAATAATCTTCTTGTCCACAGCTTTATAAGTCGACATAATCCTTTTATACCTACATATTTCCATAGTTTAGCCCATCTAGTTCTCGAAGAAAAACTTAGGTAGGACATCTCAGGAAAACTCAATTTCATAAAATTATAGACTCAATCGTTGAATATTTCTACGTACGATGATATATTTTGTTTGAGGATTGTATTCCGTAACGCCTCAGCCTCAAGGCAGAACGTTTACTGCCAAATTTGACAAGGCAGTTGAATTTTTTACAAGACAATGTTTATGCGAATTACTTTGAAAATTTTGAGGGATTTACTCCGTGCTTTGTTGACAATTCACTGAAATTTGTACAAGAATCCGCATAATCGTTTTCATGGAAAAATTAATATTGCCCAATTAAATTTCGCAATATAGTTGATGTGGCTTGGTTCCTTTCTGCTTAACGCCGCTAGATTCAGAGCATGTATACCTGAGGAATAATTTGTTTCTTAGGTATACATGCTCTGAATCTACAGATCATTGGAAAAAGCGATGAGCTGCATACGGCAGTGAAAATGGCACAATCATATCCAGGAACTACACAATTTATTCGCGAAGAGCAGAAGCAGGACACCGCGGGACCCTCAGAATCAAATAAGCGACGTCGCTTCGCGTACGGATGCTGTTATGCCGTTTTGTTAGTGTTCCCTCCCACACATTTGTATTCGATGGCAGTTTCATGAGCTGGACATATGTATGTTAAAACGAACTACGTACATAGAGTTTGCGTGGAACTTAGTTCCTTTTAGCATCCAACTGATCCTCGTAATAATGAAATTTGCAGAAAAATACGAAGAGAAGATTGCAAAGACACCTTTTGACTTCATAAGCCAGCAGGACAAGGAAAATGAAGGTACTTAGGGAAAAAAAGAAAAAACCACGGTAGATATATAAATTAAATTTACAGATTCAATGTGAGTAATATTAAGACATTGCAATGCAGTATGTTGCACGCCCGATAAAAACTCGCTAAATTGACGCTCATACTAATCTACACAACTTCTGATGCACATACATACACCATATATTATGGACCCGGTGCACAAAGTCTACTTAAAACATTTTTTACACTTTTCCTCCTTATTTTAATTTACCTGAAAATACACTATGCACACGATGAGAAGCTAAAAAGCTGAATAAACAATGCCTCAATGATACGACAAAATAATTTTGATTAGCCATGCTTAGCCAATTAGGTATGCTTTAACGACAGAAACAATGATAACACAGATCTACAACCAAAATAAGGCAAGAAGCAAGGAAGACAATTTCTTACGGATATGTATCGCTGAATCCGGAAATGTCAGCCACTTTTCCGGAACACGTTCATTTAGGCAAGACCGCCTATACGTGGTTCTACGTTTCCACTTTCGGTTGACCCTATATTCCGCACTCGACAAACTTGGTGAAGCGTGCTGAGTGCAATACCCTTTAAAGCTACATGCTCTCCAAATACCAGGTGCCTTTGATTGGATGTTCACATAAAATGCCAAATAGAGTTAATGTAGGTCCAGTGTAGGTCCCCAATCCAGCGTTTTTGCGGCATAGGACGCAGGATCACGTGACAATTCGAGTAAAAACTCAACAAGCGACATCTACCCTGATCAAAAGCCAATCCAATAGGTAGACAAAAAAGTTTTAGAAAATTTAATGAAAACGTTCATAACCCTCTCAGAAACGAAGGTTATATTTGAAGAAATTTGGCTACAATCGGACATTCATACAGCGTCTTTCCTCAAGATGGTGGTAGTTTGCCGCATAGTTCTGTGCGTTTAGCACGTTATGCGTTAACCACCGCAGATCTAGGAACGCACAGGATTCTAGTGATTTTTCTAAATGAAAAACCTCTCAATCCTCAAAAAAATCCGAATGCTACCCAACCTAATTGGAATTATTTGTACGTGTTGTAGCGCCGTCTCTGTTCGTAGATTGAAAAAAATAATAATAGGTTAACCCTTTTAAGTTGAGTTTCTGACTTTCCGGTGCTCTATATTTAGAACTAATGCAAAAAATATTTTGTGACTTGTCAACAGATGTTCTTCAGCATGAAAGAGTTGAGCATGAAAGCAAACGTCTATGATTTCTTACACATTTGGTTGGGACTCGGTCTACTGACAAGTCAAGGTAAGCGGTCAGTGAGACCTCTATCGACTGTTCCATTACTTCATTCGTGACACAGGACAGACCTGCCCACCTTCGGTTGATCTAGCATGCGTGGTGACGGAATTCATTAATTATCATGTTCGATGCCTGAAGAGGAGCCGAAAATTACCATTGAAGAATAATAATTTTGTGGGTTTCAAAGCTTTGCGGAAATAAGCAATTATCAATACGTACATCCCTGACTGTTTGGGCCGGCAGCCCAATTCTCCGTCGTATTTGAAGACTTCAAATACAACATGCTGATCTATAGAGATGATTATCTGTCTGTGGTCGGCGCAACCATGGTCCAGTGGATCTCTAGATGTACCTAACTATCACAAAAGCTGACATTCTCGGAGTCAGAGAGCTTGTTGTAATGATGGTGGAACTCGTTTCCTAACTGCTAAAGTTTCACTGTGATTTGGAGTGCATTTTGCAATAAGGAACCACTATTTCTGGCCCATTTTAGAAACAACATACGTGCCATTGGTTTCCCTATGCAGATGCGTGCTTTTATGGGAGAGCCAGAGATAGTGGTTCCTTATTGCAAAATGTGATCCATTTTAATGTAAGCGTGACGCGGGCTAATAAATAGAAATTGCTACTTATTTCATTAGGTAGGGACGTGTAAGTTATACTATACAAGCTCTAATTGAACCACATTTTGTAATTCTAACAACAATTTCTGACTCAGTTTAGAAACAACATATGTACACCATTCGTTACCTTATGTACATACGTGTTTTTAAGAATGAGCCAGAGATTGTATTCCCCAATTGCAAAATAAATTGTTGTAGATGACTATAAGGGGCTGCCTTTCCGAGTGATTCTTCCCAAATCTCACACGCTGCACTTTTTCTGGTGGATAGGTACAGGCTTTTTTAGTGAAAATTGTTGTCGAAAATACTCGAATAGCACCATAATAAAATATTCAGTGGGTCCACTTTCCCAATTGTTTAGGTCAATTGTGGCAACAGCGACGAAAACTCATCACTCCAGCCTTCCATTTCGCGATGTTGAATAATTTCAGCGAAACTCTGATTGACAACACTGTAGCACTCATCAAAAAATTGCGTGAAGAATCGTCGGACGCGATAAATGTTTTCAAAATGATGCACCTCATCGCACTTGATAACATTTGCGGTAAGTAAGTATTTTCTTACGTAATACCATAAAAATCCACTAATTTAACGTCATCATCTCATTAAGCGAATTTTATTTGAAGTTCTGAACCTCTTTGGGAAGTTCTGTCCCGGTTTTTCTCATCAATCACCAACACCAGTGGACATCGTTTTTACCAGATTCGACCAATCAGATCCGTTGGTTTTCGATAGGTCGAACCTTTTTTAGAGCCACCTCACGAGGTGGTACCAAAATCACGCACCAACCTTGCGATTCGTTAGTAACCGGATCGGAAGTTTCGAACACAAACAGAGTGGCAGCTCGAAGGTTCAGGCACAAAAGTACAGTACCAAACCTCTAAATAAAATTCGCTCATCGCGTGTAACATTCGATAGGTCAATTGTTTCATGTCTTCTGCATTGGGATATACGCAAAAAAAAGGAAGGAAAAACAATTGCTCAGACATTAAGGCTCATTCACATGATGATCATAGTTAGTTCAGGAAAAATATTGCTCCAAATGGTTCTAACTTTAATCTCGAAACCGGCCTCATACGACTCAAAAAATAGCTTTGGTCTAAGATTCTAATTTTTCCTGAATATTATATCGAAAATCGGGCAGAAATGCAAATCATTATTAATTAAACTATACATTTCCATAATCAATCAAACGTTCTTATTATTTTCATTATCGACTTATCTTGTTCTAATGAGTTACCTAACTGTTCAATTTATTTAAAAAAAATAACCGATTAAAAAAAGGTTTCAACTAAGATCAAATAGCAACAGCCTTGAAAGAAGAATGAAACGAATCAACTGTTCGTGCTTAAGTACCGTGCAAATTGCCTACACACGAATATGCGGGAGTTTTATACAGGGAGCAATGTTGTGTCGCTTACCATCTAAAATTATATAATCCATTGATATCTTTCTAAATGAGAATCAATCCTAAAATTCGACGTTTATTTGATAACAAAAAAAGTTGAGATTTCTTCCGAATTTTTCTTTTACATATAATAAATGTATGGTTAACATTTCATTCAATGGGAATACAAAAAAAAACATTGATTTGCATTGTTTCTAGAGTTTTGACGTAATTTCTTTTAATTTTCAGAGACAGCTATGGGAATCAAAATTGATGCCTTGAACAATCCAAAGTTGGATTACATCCGAGCTATTGAAGAGTAAGTAGCTGATAATCTTATAAAGAGTGGTTTTCTTGTATATTAGAAATGAACAAAACTTCCAGTACCTATAGAAATACCGAGAAGGACAAAATAAAACTCGAATGAAGTTAGTGAATTACATGACTGATTTTCTCAAAAGGGAGGGACTGTTTTACTGCATTCTTTCTATTAAAAATGCTAAAAGCTTTTGCCATTTCCTTTCTGAAGCAATTTTAGAACCAGAGCTAATGATTTTTTCGTGGATTTTCCTCTTCATTATTTACGTCGGAGTCATTTTCCTGGTGCATGACTTTAATTGCAGCTATCCATATCAACAGTTTATAGCCTTCAATGTGCGCAGTGGTGTTCCTTTTGATTCTTCTACAATGATTTTCGATTTTACTGAACTTGCCAAAATCGAATTTTTCCGACTATACTTTCGATTCCTGAATCTCTATGAGACGTTATCACATGCAACTGTCCCTGCGATAACAGAACTTATTACGCTTTCATTGCAGTCTGTCATTGGTAGCGATGGTTCTGTTTTTGCAAGGAAATTTACCTTAACTTGCAATTAGCATTGCATTAATTGCATATGAAGAGATGCAAATTTTGTCACAAAATTTGCAAAAAATGCTTGCAAAGTGTATATCAAGTACAAATGGCTTGAGAGAATCAATGACGTTTCTAGCATGAGCATCATCTTTCTATATTTTACTCATTTTCCGATCATGTATTGTATTATAATACATGATATTGAGCTTAAATAAATACATGAATAAATTAAATGGTCAATTACACGTAAATTGATACTAAACTTGTTTCTTTTTTTTAATCTGAATGTTTCCATTTATGTTATAGCTCGACTCACTCGCTAATGAACAGAATGTTGAAACCTTGGTTATGGAACGATACCACGTATTTCTTAGCGCCTGTTGGCAGAAAACTTAAGAAAGATCTCAGTATTATTTTCGAACTCACAAACAAAGTAAGTGCTACATGGTAAATAGGGAACGTATCTCTACCATCACGATAGCCATTTTCGATCATTTCCAAGTATGACCAGTATTTCGTTGAATTTTAGGCATGAACATCGATCTAATTTCTTAATAATTTGATGAGACTGCAGCAGTTAGCGGTGTATCAGGGGTGTGCAAAATTGGTCTTATATTTTCTAGAGTCACTGACTTTTGCGATTTTTGAGTCTTGCTGTTTTTTCGTCATGCTGGTATCGACGAATAGGTATGTTTATTCACAATGCCAGAATAGTAAAACACGTCGTTTTTAGGCTGCTTTAGGTGTTCTACGGATGAAAACCATCGCCCATCGCTAAGTTGCGCCACTTCATGGCCAGTGTCTTTTAGACGCCACACTTATTGTAGTTTTTCAGAATGCACATGAAAAAGAGGACCTTAACGATTAGCATTTCAGCGGAAACCTGCGGATTATTCCGATCATTTACAAGACGCACTCACGCACCATCGCAAATTAAACCAATGTAATTTTTTCTGAAAATTCAATCCAAAAATGCTTCAAATCGCTTAGCTTTAGATGATTCTTTTACCACCCCATCTGTTCATGGAACCGGCTCCTAGTGATGTCATCGTTGAAGTGTATCGGAAAAACTGCAAGGCCATTTTTCATTACTAAATGATTCACTCAAACATTGTGCCCTAGAATTTTGAATGACATTTTTCACAAGACACCAACTTCTTCGCATAATTTTTCCGGGAATAACACATTGGACATCGATTCCCAGACGTAGATTGTGTTGCGGACGGATATATATTCATATGACTAATGCTTATTACCTTTTTGAATAACGCTGTTAATTTTTTTATATGTTCCAGGTTATCAAGGAGCGAAGGGAGGAAAAGTCCAGAGAAAAAATTTCCGGTGATTTTAATGCAAATGAAAGCCAAACATGTGACGATACTGGAGGTAAGATATTTTAAAAAATACTGTGCATAAAACAAACTGAACGGGTGGAATCGATTTAGATTAAAATATGCATAAATTTAGAGACATCGAAAAAGAATGTCACGTTTTGTTGTTTATTGACATCAACATAGTTTAAAAGGATCTCACCCAAATTTCCCGTGTCTCGGCCGGCGATGACATAGTTACAACTTCCTCACTGAAAACTCCGGTAACTTTTAAAGTGCAATTCTATATATAGTCTCCGAATTTTGCAAGACTTAATATAAAGGTGAATTCAATATCAAACTTACCGACTCAAGAGCCAAAATATCTAATCAAAAATGAGTGAAAAAATGGGGTGGTGTGAAATGATTCGAATGCGTTATTTGTTTTGCAGGAAAGAAGAAATTAGCATTTTTAGACCTTTTGATGGAAGCTTGTGACTCTCAATCCGTGCCTTTATCCGATAAGGATTTAAGCGATGAGGTCAACACTTTTATGTTTGAGGTGGGTAAAGTCATTAATTAGATATTTCATAAATATTAATGCCAAAAATATAGTTCGTGAGGAAGCCTTTATTTTTCAAATCTAGTTAACGCATCTAGTAGTTGCATTTTTCAATAAGGTAATGCCATTGTTGCAATGGTTATAGGAAATTTCGTCAACGATTTTTTGTCCGCGCACCTGTTTTTTCAAGTAATTTACGTCCACGCGTTTTTTCGGCACGGGAGTTTTGGTCCACGTGCCAGTTGAGACCCAGAGTTAATTGGCCCACATGTAAAAACAAACGACAATTGCTCACGACGATTTTGGATGAAAATATGTATAATGTCTTGGAAGAAAGAGGGTTTGCTTGTTTTTTTGTTTTGTCTGTTTGGTCCAACGGAGGATAATATATACTTGAGAGTTTTGGTAAAAATGGGGGAGCGTCAATTCCATGAGACAAAATTCACTAAAACTCTCTACACCTCTTTGGTGTAACAGGACTTAATTATCTTTCAAAAAATTCCATCCTCCACCTCCATTGTGAAATGGTTGCTTCAGGCGCCGCGGGCAGGCGGCGCACAGTGTGTCAAACCCCCAATCTAGCTGCTCAAAACCCCCCTTATATCAAGTCAACAAATGGTGTTATTTATGGTCAGAGTGGGTCCACAGGCACCCACTGGTTACGTATCTATCATGGTTATCACAAAAATAAATATTGTGGTCGCTAAAATGAAAGGGATTGCAGCCGGTAAGCGTCCTGCCTCAATCTCGCCATCAGGAGTGGTGCCACTGTATTGCTTTTTTTTAGAGTACTTCG